ATGTGATTATACTCGAGAAGGACAAATAATTAAGATTCTTTCAATATATGTAATATTATACCAAAATGTACTTCTTAATTTGTAAAAAATATTTTTTTTTGGAAAGACTTTCCTTTATAGAAGATACAAACAATGAATAAGAAAAACAAATTAAGTGGGTAATATACCAAAAAGAATATATTAAAGGAAAAAATATCTTAAAATTGCCATATAATCATATTTTCGATCACACAAGACATGTCTTACGTAGCTTCAAACAAATTTGATTATCAATTTGTTATAAATTACCTTACTAATTTAATAAATGACTAGGATAAGACCCGCGCCTTGCGCGGGATGAAGCTATTATTTTTATTATGTTTTGAAAAATGAAACAATAGTTCGGTTTCACTCGGATTAGAGGTGTTCAATCCGGATATCGGGTTTCGGTTCGGCTCGATTTTTTGGTATTTCGATTATTAAAATACAACTACTATTCTAAATCTATATGTACTTCATTGATTTGGTTTATATACCATCAGTTTTCAGTTTATTCAATTTTATACCAAAAAACATGATTATTTAGTTTGAGATCATATTATATATTATACAAATATATAATATGATCATATTTAGAGTCATATTGTCATAGAGTCATTTATTAAAAAAATATTATATATTTAAATAAAAGAATAAAAAACAAAATGGCTTCTATCATCTAATAAAATGATCAAATCTAGAATTAATATCAAAACACTAAATTTTGAAAATAAAAATGAAAAACAAAACAGAAGCATGAAAGAAAAGTTTTTATATTCTTCCATATTTAGTGTTCATCAAACCAATATGTGTTCGATTGAACACAACTCTGTTTGTTTAAAGATAAAAAAAGTTGTAAAGAATTTCAACTAATTGTTGTCCATCAAATTTATAATCTTTACTTCAATTTAGTTACTGTTAAAAAAGAAAAAGATCAAAATAAGAAGTCTAAGTTGCAATAAATTGTTAGCTATTTACAAATTATAATTATAGATATTTGTCAACTCATGTAACAAATAGATATTCATGCGTTGTTATAAATATATACATATTTACATGTTTCAGTTTAATCAGTTATATATCAAACCATATCCAAATCCTATGGTTTTTATAAAATCACATCCATTCGGTTTGTATGGTATATACCAAAAATAACCATATTATCGATTGTTAATATCTTTTAAAAGTATAAAATTAAAAAAAGAACTAAGATATTTAAATCATTGATAACAAAAATTTTCAGTGTGAAAAATTTAATAATTTATAAATGTTCTTGAAAATTTATTGAGGATTTTGAAATTAAAATATTTATGTAATCTTATATGGTATATAGTTTAATCTGTATATATATATTTGTTTTATTATTGAATGATACTTTTACTTATATGGTTTTAAATTCATGTATATCTTTTTATAATAAAAATGTTAAACTATTGATCATTAATTTTAAACATAATAATTTTAATATTTAGTTATTTATTCTCGTTTTTTAAAATTCAAAATATAACCTATACGAAAAAAATCTAAAGTTTAATTTTATAGCTAATTTGATTGTTTAATTTATTTTTATAATATAAAATTAAAGAAAAATGATGGAGGATATATAAAGTGTTATCAAATATTTATTATTAGAATCATTAAGTGTCATATATATATATATTAGTCATTTATGGTAATTCCGTAAGTTTTATTTATGGAAAGAAAATATTATATCTAGGGAAACAATCATAAATGCTTTTATCATAAATATCATATCATATCATATAATTTGACCAACGAATGTATCTAGCGAAATATAAAAATCGAATGTGGACCTACTTATTTTTCAATTGAATGTAATTGACTACCTAATTGAGTGACACCTAAGCATGAGGTCTTTTTTAATTATTACAAAACTGAGGATACAATTTTTTAAATATTTATCTTTTAATATATAAGGGATTATTGGAGGCAGACTTTAACTATTAGAACGTAAATATTTTAAGATATAAGATTCTAATCTCTCTAACCACCACCAGTGATTAGCCCTCGTACACTTTCCATTAATGAACAACACGTGTTACACGTATTACTTCTCAATTAGGATAAGACCTTCGCAGAGTGAATATATTTAATTAAATATAAATTTTTCGTATTGACAAAATTTAAAATTTATATATGATTGTTTTTGTATGTTTTTAAAATTTAAGAGTTTTGAAATTTTTATATAATTATCTATACGTAAGATCAGAAACAATTTTAGTTAGAAATGTAGATCAAATCTTAGAATTTGGATATGATTTCATATATCTTTTCACTTTTCAGTGTTCGAGTGATGAAAAATAAATGGAGTATCACTCGACTTGATTGGTAGAGTATTAGCAAGTTCCCTAATGGTTTTTAAGAAGCAATTGGTAAAATATTTGCATCTAAAATATATAAAGTTTCTAAACTAATTTAATATAATTTATTTATCTGTCTAATAATATTAGAAAATTATATTTTTTACAAATTCTTATTTTTTAAAATAATTTATAAAAAAATATGTAAAATTTTAAATTATTAAAAAAAAATATTTTAAGTGTTTCAAATACAAATAAACAATTTAAAATTAATTATGGTCATGATTTAACATAACCATAATGATTAAAAAAATTAAAAATTAACAAATTAAAAATTAACTCAGTTTTATATCATGATTTAACAATTTAAAAATTAATTATGGTTATAAGAAGTTTACGTTCACGTGTCAGTCCTATTTATCTTCCATTTTTCTCTTGCTATGTTTTTTTTTATATTTTGGTTATTACTCGATATAAATATTTATTTTAAATTTTATTCTCATTTCATTTGTTTTAGAAAATACTTAAGATTTAAAATAATTAAAGAGATACATACTCAGGTTAAGATCTGCACTTTATGCACAATAAGTATTTTATATTTATTATTTATTTATATATTTCTGCATATTATAAATAATAAAATAATAAATATATATATTAAATAACTAAGAAATCAGTTACTATTATGTAATAAATTGGTGTATGCATATAAATTTAACTATTACTCTTGTTTATTCACAATTAGGGTAAATAAATCAAATAATCAATCTTATATATTCTATATGATATATAATTAAATTTAAATGATATAAACATAGTAATATAACACACTTTTAATATGGATATTTATTAAATGAGGTTTCTACTCATATGATTTTATAATTATTTGCATATTTGTGTAACAAAACTTTACACCAACGAATTTTTTTTTAATGTGAGATGTTTAGTAGTTTCAATAATTTATAATCATTTAAAAAAAACAATGACATATTCAAAATTAAAATATTAACTTTTCAATATATGTTCAAGGCTAATATCAAAATATAAGTATGTATTTTCATACGATGTATAGTTTAATTAAAATGATATTAAATATATATAAACTAAAATTATTTCTTCATATGGTCTTTTAATCATTATATTTTAGTATAGAAAAAAAAATTAAAACTTTGATCTTAAAAGTTTATGTGGGACTTTTAACAGTTTTAGTAATTTATACTCAAGTTGAAAAATTCGAAATACAACATACACAAAAAAAATCTAGATTTTTATTATATGATTAATGTAATTGTGTAATTTATTTTAATAATAAAGAAATAAACAGAATGAAAAAATTATACAAATTGTTATCAAATCTTTATGTTTTAAAATCATTAATTGTCATATATATATATATATATATATATTTTGATCACATTAGGTAATTCCGTAGGTTTTATTTAAGGAAAGCATGCGAAACAATAAATATTTGATATATGCGACCAACTATAACCTACGGAATATTATATTGCTAGAGAATATAATTTTTAAACTATACATTATATCACATGCTCTAGAATCCTTAGAATTTCAAATAGAAGCCAAAGAGTTATGCCACGTAGGATTAGGGTTATTTTTAATTCTTACAAATTTAAGGTTACAACTTTTTAAATGATTCTCAAATAATATATAGGGGATTAGATTGAAATGTGTTTGCTTCTTAATCAGTTTTAAATATTGAACAATTTTGATATTTTTGCATAACTTAGCTAAATGAATAATTAAACATATATTTATTTGGTATTGATATATATATATATATATATATATAATTTTATCAAAAACCTATAAAACTATAGATTTAAAGTATTATCAATAAAGTAATATAGTTGTATGAAAGATAATTTTGTACTACATGAATTTTCTCAAAAATAATTATAAACAGATTTTGTAAAAGGTTACTTTATAAAATAAGGCATATTTATTTTTATAAAATGAACTCACATAAATCATATTGTTTAGGAGTGAACTTTAAAATAATAATTTAGAGCTGTATTTCTAAAACAAGTCTTTGTTATATAGATGATTTATATTTTCCAATTGATAGTTATATATATATATATGTATACTGGTTAGGATTTTTAATGAAAATTAGTGATATTGATATTATTATCTTGTATATTAACTTTATCGGTCTGAAAGAATATCTTAAATATTATTTCAGAAGTGAATTTTGAAATGTTACTTATGTAATTATTATATTCATTTTGAAAAAAAGTGAAATGAATTTTAAGAAATTTGACACAACGTCAAGCTAGTTATAACATTTACAATTTAAATATTTTTTTTATTAAAAAAACATATAACGACTTTATATCCTCATTAAAATAAATTTCATTTACAAGATTATATTTTTTGAAATAAGGTAATGAATAACAAACCATATATCTAAATTTTCTCACCATTAAAGTAAAATTTACTTTATAATACTTTTTTTTTCATTTTTGCAAAATTTGAAGAAATATATCAATATCACCATATTAGAAAACGAGATAATGACCGTTCGATCTATAGATTCACACGATCTTGAACTACACCGTAACACAGAGGAGCAGCTCTAATCAATACTTTAAACACAGAATCCACAAAGTTGAGAGGTGCCTTTAGGGTTTTCTTCTCGTATTGCTGTGACCGTAATAAAAAGAGAAGACGAGATCAGATCCCTCCTCCACTAATTTGAAACAGAAACCAAGAAAGACCCAATTCTTATTCGCTTGAGTCAGGAATCCGGTTCTTTGGTTTCCTTTTCTTAACCAGTTTTTGATCTCTTCTCTGAGTCACTTTTGAGGAGACGATGGGAAGAGGGAAGTTCAAGGGAAAGCCTACAGGCCAACGCCGATTCTCTAGCGCAGCTGATATTCGTAAGCCTTGGCGTTTGCCTTGAAATTTGTGGAAAATCTTTCATATTTGCCCTAATTTGATTTGCTCGATTTAGCCCAAAATTCTTGATTTCCTTTGCTCTACGAGTTAGATAATCATTGGTTACACAAAAAAGTCTAGGTTTTGATTTGCTGTTGCGTTGTTTCATACCCACTGTTTGTGCTCGAATCAGTTTTTGTTTTTGTTTTTGGTTTGGGATTGATAGTTAGTGTTTGGTTAAGTTATTGGCTTGTTTGCGTGGTTCATCTCTTTTTGAAGGTAGTCTTATAAGATATTGCTTTCCATGATTTTAGCTGTTAATTTTGATGACTTGATTCACTGTTATGGCTTATTATTTTTTGCTTGTTTGAGAGAGTCATGTGTAAAATATCTGGCTCGGATGATCTTTTGGTCTTTATATGATTATAGGATTGACTTCAGATGTGTTCCCTTTAGTGTTAACTTGTCCAGTTTTTTTTACTAAAGATTGTGTACTTGAAGATTGATATTGTATTTTCTTGTGTTGTGTAGTTGCTGGCACTTCTGCTGCACGTCCTCGGTCGTTCAAGCAGGTACTTTGGTTGTTTTCTCTTACAAGTTTTATACGTTTGTTTGTTGATAAGTTTTATGTTATTATCAGAAAGAAGCAGAGTATGAAGAAGATATCGAAGAGGAGTCTGAAGAGGAATCTGAAGAAGAATCCGAAGATGAATCTGATGTGAGTGGAAACCCTTGTGGCCTGGTTCATCTACCATCATTGTTTGACAATTTACTTTGTATAATAACATCAGGTGAAGAAGAAAGGACATGAAGCTTTAATCGAAGTTGATAACCCTAACAGAGCTAAACCAAAGACCTTGAAAGCAAGAGACCTTGATGTAAGCTTCTCTTGTGTAGTCTGTTTCTGTGAATCTCTCCATATATATATATGTTTGTCATAATGACTTTGTCCTGTTCTTTTCATTTGTTGATTAGGCAAGTAAAACAACTGAACTCTCAAGGCGTGAAAGGTTACTTGCTAATTCTGAACATTTGAATCTCTTATCATTCAGCATTTCTTGTTTGAGGAGCTTCTTAAAATAGTTCCATATTATATGGTCTTCCGCAGAGAGGAGCTAGAGAAGCAGAGAGCTCATGAGCGATACATGAGGTTGCAGGAGCAAGGCAAAACCGAGCAAGCAAGAAAGGATTTGGGTAAGCAATAATGAACTTCTTGTTCTCTTTTTATGTTACCAAATGAGCTTATTGATCATCTCGTACCCTGTCTGCGTGTGTATGTACAGATCGTTTAGCACTGATTCGCCAACAGAGAGAAGAAGCTGCGAAGAAGCGAGAAGAGGAAAAAGCAGGTAAAAACAAAATTTCATTTGTTTTTTAGAAACAGAGTCTTTTCTTTATTGTTTCTGATTCAGTGTCTCAATTTATTGTAGCGAGAGACGCGAAGAAAGTTGATGCGCGCAAATGAGCCAAGTGTTCAAGCTCATCAGAGAACTACCCTACTTTATATTATAACTAAAACAAGACGAAGATGCGTTGTTTTTACTTTGTTCATTTTCAATTGGTAAACAGATACAGCCTTTTACCTATTTACTCAGTACCGTGTGGATCTTAATACATTTGGAAGATATTAAAGTCTATTAGCATAAACAACATTAGCCCTACAATTCTAGCCAACTCTTCCTTATTCATCAGTTTCCATCTATTCATAATCCATTTATTCATCTCTTCCTTGCAGTAGTTTTGTTCTTTGAGATGCATTTCTCTATACGTACAACATCATTTTTTCAGATAACTTTTATACAGTGTTTACTTGCTCCTAAATTTGTATGCGGCTCTTTCTATACATTACTTAACCATTGATTCAGGTGTTTTGCATCCCTTATCTTCTTTGAAGTCTTGTTGCCTCAGCAAACCAGTTTGCATATGGAATCAACTTAGCTCTTCCAACCTTCTTATCCAGATCTGAAATCGTTGCTTGTTGTTGTGTTGTTCGTGGTCTCAACTGAGCGATTTGAGTTCACTGAATCTGAAGTTTTTAACAGGAGTGCCCGAAAAGCTTTCTCCAGTGGAATTATCTATCACCATGGTTGTCTTATCCCTTCTTTGTATAGATACATAAGCCTCGAAAGTTCTGACCTTAGCTTCCCAACCTTCCAGGAAAGAGGATCGTGCTTGACTGAGTTGACTCGCAGCTCCACCCTTTTTCACTGTCATTACAGCGCACATCAACAAGCCTCGGCCTTTGCTTTTTGCTTCTCAGCAAGACATATTCAAATGATCAGTTGCCTAACGATGGTATCAGCAAAATATCTAGGCACCAACACGGTAATGTTGATGACCGAAGTTCATGCTTAACCTCAACTACAGCCTCCCGTCAATTCTCGTCAATCTCATTCATTCGCCGTTGTGAAAGTGGCTCGTTCTTATTTGTCGGGCTTAACACGCCCTCCTTTATTCGCGCCCAACAACTATCAATTATGATAGTTTCACTATCAGCCGTCAAAATCCATAATGGACTCAAGATGGAAACCCCGTCTAGTGGATCCTACGTACTCGTCTTACATGGACTGTTTTATCTGTTTGGTGGTGCCAGTGTAGTCAATGGTGCTAGTTCATCAATGTCAAGCAAGATTCGTCATCAACTGGTAAATCCGACAAGTGCATTTGTTAGTCAAAATTCTAAATATTGCTTAGAGTATATCAATGCTTGAAGATTGTAGTCTCTTATGCTTTTTATTTACAGAAAAGTCGAACCAAACTTCCTCATCTCGTGGCTATGAGAGATCTTTTCCCTTCTCTTTTGTAGAAGTGAATCCTTCCATCAAAATCCCTTTCCATAAGAGGTACTACTCTTGGCTGCAAAGTCAATGAGCATCATCATTTGCCTAACCACTTGTCATCATGTAATGGTTCGTTTGGGACCGGAAGATACAACGAGACTCATCCCAATGAGACCCAAGCTCTTGGAGCATTCAACATCACAATTTATAATGTATATCCTGAGTCTGAGTCTGGAATTTTTGAAGAGTGAAATAATTTCTCTTTGAGGCTACTCGTGAGTGGCATCTAACAAAAGACGACTAACACAAATGTTATCCATTAAATACACTTTAGTAGATTAAATATCAGTAAATAAGTTATAAAGTATAATTTACTAGTTTGGTATGATTAACAATATGAATATGATTAATGCATGATCACAGCAACTTAGTCTAACTTTTAATTAAGTGTTAAATGAACTAGATCTTTGACTGCGCTACGCGCGGCTAGTCTCTTGAACAAAATTTTCAATCATATTGTTTATATATATGATATATTGTATAATTAAATTTATAATTAAAAACATAAGAAATACAATGTTAAATTAAATAAAAAAAGATAACGATTGACAAAATCATTGTGGTTAATGCAAATAAGAGTTTCATAAGTAATACTAATAATAAACTTCTTTTTTATATAAAATATAGATTTTTTTTAGTTTCTTTTAACAGAACCCTCATTTTAATTTTGGTATAAATAACTTACATAATAATTATTGTAATATTTTAATCTGTAGTTTTATATTTCCTATCTTCAAAATGTTGGTAGAAAGTAATCACTATCAAAATCTGAAAATTAAGTATATAAAATGAGTGACTTTTATTTAAATTTAAAATGATATTATATAAATTTAAGATTGTATATATTTTGTTGTTAGGAATAATGTTTATTTATTCTATTTATTTATAAACTGGATGATATTAATTTATCTTTGTCATCAATGTTTTGAATACCAAACCAAACATTTACTTGACATTGCAGTTAGGTCAATGGTCACACCAATCCAACTGAATTGTAAATTTAATTTAATTTTAAGTTAAGTATATATATATATATGTATAACTATAAAATTATTTTATAAGACTTTAACATTGTTTGAAGCTAAAACGATATGAAAATAAAATGAAAACTTCAAAATAGTATAAAATATAATGAAAATAATTTATTTAAATAGATATTAAAAACAATACATGTTTATATGAACGTATTTTAAAAATTTGCATTTTTAACTTGAATTTGAAAAAAATCAGGGTTTAATATCAAAATGGACCATCGAGCGAGTGACCGGTTCTTAAATCGAATTTGTTGGTTTTTAGCACAACTCAAAATTGTTTAGAAGAGAGAGAGTCATGATCCAACCAGCCGAATCAAATTTTTACAAAACACTTCTTGTCACAGAGCATCACTTTTAATAACAAACAAAAAATCATTTTAGGAGACATATTTTTATTATTAACTTATGTTAAAAACAATAAACATATATAAATGAAGTTGTTATTTCTTGTTTAACCATTTAAAAAATAATAATTGCCATCTTAATATTTTTTTTTCAAGTTTTTAAAGACTATGCAATATGAACCAAATTATATGCATGGAATAGATCAAAATATAACTTTATAACAAAGACATAGAAATTTGTGTAACCACCATAATTATACATTTAAGAAAAGATAGTCATTTGAACTTGATAAAATGAATCTTTTTTTTATTTAAAAAGAAATGAAAATACTGTGTTTTCTATTCTGCTATGTCATCACCATCCACCATAGATACCCCCTCTACAATAGCATTTTTTAAATACTATAAAATATACAGATAAAACAGCAGTATTAGAATGATATTATAAACTTAACTATAGCACTACATTTGTTTTTTATAAATTGATTCGATTTACATATTCGTGTAATTCTTTATTTATTATTTGAGAAGTGATTTTGACACTTGTCACCACAATATTAATTTTGAAAGAAAAAAGATAACATGACATACTATAAAATATGACATGGATTGATGCTACTTATGATATGGACATTTACATTAATTATTGTTTTATATTTTGGTTAGTTTCTAAAATATGGTAATAACTCATATATCATCACTAATAAAAAAATATAATAGTAAAATTAAATAGAATAATTTTACAATTTTTGAAATATTCTTAAACTTATTTTTATAATTTATAATTATTATTACTAGAACCAACTTCAAAAAATTATACAATTCTGAAAGAAATATAATTTTCTAATCCCATTACTATGAGTTTCATTTAAATATCTACAAATTGTAGAATATTATTTAATTTTAAATTTTGGTATTATATACCTAACAAAATAATAATTCTTTTAGAATTTTTAATATATTTTATTCAAAAGCAATAGATAAATATATTTCTTAGATTATGGTTTTAAATATACACATACTAGTGGTTTTCCCGGGCTACGCCCGGGTTTTCTTATATAATTTTTTGTTTAATTTAATTTATTATAAAATTTTGAATATATAATATCTATATATCTATTTTTAAAAATATAAATTATAAAATGAAGTTTAAATTATTAAATTGTAAAATAACTGATATTGATACTAGATGTTATATGTTTCTGTTTTAATTATGCTAAGATTTTAAATAAATTTACATGATATTTGATCAAAAACTGTAATGTCTACAGGAGATTGTTTGGTTATTGTTTGATGAACTACTTTTTGACAAACTGATGTATTTAATAATGTCTTTGTATAGGTAATTGTTTTATTCTTCAAACTTCTAACAATGTCTATTATATATTTTTTAACAAAATTTTGTTTTTGATGTTGAAGCGGGTAATATTTTTCTCTAATTTACTAAACTATAAAATATCATATCTGATAATTCAAATTTATATAAATTTATACTCCCTCTGTTTCTAAAAAATCTATATTCTGGTTTTTCACACTTTTTAATAAAATACAATAAATTTGCATATTTTTTGTATTTATCTTTTTTTCCATAATTTTAAACCAATAAAAACCAGTTAGTGCAATTAGTTAATAAAACATGCATTGAAAATATAGATATTTCATATTTAGAGATATGAAAGTTGTCTTCCGTCTTGAAGAATAAGTTGAAAATGAGAAAACTTTTTTTTTTTAATTTACTGGACTAAAATATTTATCAAAATCATATCATTTGTAAAAAGCAATAAAAATTCAAATAAAATAAAAGATTTTCATAATTGGACCTAAAACACTTTCGGTAAATGATAGAATGACAAGTATCATCTTTTGCCTCATCTTTTGCCTCTAGGGAGATAAAAAAATTTACTTTATTATATAAGAGATGTATAAATATTTATTTTAGAATTTTGTTTTGAAATATTTATAACCAATAAATCATATATCACCATTACAATATAAATGCATATATAACATTAATAAAAAATAAACTAAATATAAGTACATTGTAAAAAAATCACATTAACTTATATATATCATTTGTTCATAAATAAAATATACATTAAAATTATTTGTAAATTTTTGTTATAATAGAAAACTAAAAATATAATAATGAAATATAAAATTTTGTTTTAAGTAATGATTTAATAGTTATTAGCGTTTATTAGTTCATTAAGTAAACTAAAATTTGTTAAATATATTAAATATAAAAACATAATTAAAAGAAGGTGACACATAGCATTTTTCCCCCCAAGGAGTGAAAAAACCAACTTTATTATATAAAATATACTCCCTTCATTTCATTTTAATTGTCCTTCTAAGATTTTACACACAGATTAAGGAAACATTTAATTTTACATATTTCCAAGATAAAAACACAATTACCTATACACCTAAACACTTTTCA